CCAATTTTACCCGGGAGGCATTCTCGTTGGCAGATCGCCAAAGGTTTTCTCCAGCTAATCAATCCAATCCTATTTGAATAGTATCGAACAATTGTTTATTGTGACATCGTCACAATGCCGGGCTGAAATTTTTCATAATATTTTTAATTAATTTAATTAAATATTATGAAAAATTTCAATAAACAATTGTTCGATACTATTCAAATAGGATTGGATTGATTGGAGAGAAAAGACCTCGTACGCTTTGCGAAAACATATTGCTCTCCACCTCAAATTAGTAGGGGCTTGCACCCGTACATCATAGTTTTCCTTTAACAATGGTTAAATTTATGATGTGAAAAAGTAACTAATTCAAAATGGACACGATTATCTTTAATTTTGACGAGTTCGGCATGATTCGCAAGTGACTTTATTGAACGATGAAATATGAAATCAATTTGGACAATTCGAAAAAAATCGCAAAGTCCAGATCAAACTTGGATCCTTCACAGTATCATTTAAATTTGCATTTTAAATTGCTGTACGTGTCTAAAAAATAACGTCGACTAATGTATCCAGTTTTTATATTTAATAAACGATTTTCTTCATTAAATATAAAAATACAAATAAATCTTATTAAGAATTCTTAATTCTGGAGAGGTAAAGAGATAAATAACATCTTCAATACCCCGAATGAATCCACTGAACGAATAGGCCTTTATCTTATAAAAACGGAGTCAACAAAGATAAAATTTTAAACAACTTACTATGAGTTCAATAGAATTTTTAAACTTAAAATCAGAACAGAAATTAAAAATTATTTTATCATCATGTAATGTAAACTGTATGGATTCTTCAATCTGTGTGTACAGATTAAACGGAAACATTGTGATTTTGAAGTTTTAAAAAGCTAAGATGTATATTATAGGAAATATTTGAGATTTGAACTATGTTCATGAGCTGTGCTTGAATATAAAATTATCATTTTAAATAAATTCTGATTAAAATCATCTTTCTTCGAATAAACTAAAAACTAAAATTTTATAGTACAGTATATAAATATTCTCAAAATCAAGTGTTTTTGATGATAATTATTAATTGATGAATTAATAAGTCGTTACATTATATCAAATTTATCAAATTTATGATTAATGTGGATATTTTTTCTAATCTACATATTTTAACTTTAATAATAAATAAATTTAATATGATTTTATGACTATACATCTTTATCTTAATCTGTAATTTATTTCTAACAATATAGGAAAATTAAATACATACTTGTACGAAAGCAATATACTGTGTATATATTATATGATGACAAATCGTTTTACGAGATTTTTTCTAATAGGGTCATGGATCATTCATCGCCGTCNATTTAACAAAGAATTGTTAAATTGTTGTAATAATTTATATGAAATAATTATTTAAATGATTTAATAATAAAGAGTATAGTTTAACCATTATTTCCATGATAATTTATGGAAATAATTGTAAAGCAAGAACGAATTACCAAAAATGATTGTTAAATTACATTTTCAAACCATAATAATTCTTTAAACATAAAATTATGAAAAATAATTATAAACTTTCTACAGAAACAATAAATTTTACAATATGTCCTCTCTTCTCCATTTTGCATTTTTGATATACTGAATGATGCCTTTTACCCCTGATTTTACCGTAACTTATATGTTGATGCAACTACCACACAGTTTGGTGTGACAAAGAAAACTAATTTCTTTAAAGAATTTGATTCTAAATTTGTCAAATAATTTAATTGGACATATTCAAATCTCAATTTATTTATTATTACCAGTAACAATTAATGTAGACTCTTGATAATTTGAAGTAAGAGGGTATGGATATTAGTATCTGTAGAGACCACCCACTTTAGTATCATTATTATCACATATTAGTATCTGTTTTCACCCACTTTGAACTTAATAAGTACTGTGTCTTTTGTCGAAAATTTCCGAAGTAATTACAGAGATTTGTGTATTTGAAAGAAATATTTTCAGAAATTTTGAACTATTTGTTCGGGAGATATGGCTCCATAATATATAATATAATAATAACTCCCGAACTAATCTGAAGACTTATAGGTAATGGTAGTAATTGTTAGGAATGAAAACAAGTAAGATTATTTGGAAAGTCCAGCAACGCCAGTTTTTTCTTTCTTGTGACTGATCGCCTTTAAACACCTCGTTTTATGAATGATGTGGTTTTTAGATTTGTTTATTTAGTTACGGCAATGCGACACGTGGACGATCTGCGAGGGGAATGCCTTTCTAAGATCTATAACCAAATATTTATACTGAAACTAAGAAAAGATTATGAATACAATAGAGAGTTTCTCGAAGATTTATAACGCCTATAAGCTAAAAATAAATCACAAATAGACAGACAAAAATGGCAAATTTTAGTTTTTACTTCCGTTTATTATACAATATAAAAACAATATTTTTAGATGGTTATAACGGCTTCTTTAATAACAGATGTATATCGTTAGCGTTGTAATTATACTGACTGATCAGAGAAAGAAGGAAAGTTATTACACTGCTACCTACTTACAAGTAGTGCTAGATAGATGTTCTTCATTTATCAAAATTAGCTTTACATTTTATTTATCTGCTGAAAGACACTTTTCCAATTGTCTTTCAGCAGAAACAGGGCTTTAAATTGCACCTTTAAATTGTGCGAAAGCTCGTTATAGACGACGATAAGATTTATCTTTCATAGCATCAGAGTTAAAATGATTTTTCGATCAATGTTAATATATAAAAATAACTTTCTTAGTTTCATTAAGTTAATTTCATCGTCACTTCGTCGGGCTGAACGTCATAACCCGGATCGTATGCTCTGAATAAGAATGGTTCTCATTAATTATGTTAAATTACGTTACGAGTTAAACTGTTAAAATACATAAGTGTAAGTTTATTTCATATAGTTGTAAAAGTATTCTAAAAAAAATGAATATTTATTCCTGGATATCTGTTATAAAAGTATAGAAAATTCAAAGGTATCAATGAAATAAAACTTAATTTTGGTGAAAATCGAAGACATAGAAAAGCAATTACAGACAAGAAAGTAATAACGATCGTTTAAATTCCTTTTCAGTGTTTGGGCTTCATGTCCTGTAATTTTATTTATTTTAGTTTGTTTTTCTTCCTGTATAATGTGCATGAAGCTAGTTATAGCTATAATAAAGTAAGGAAATTCGTGAATATATTTATACATTTAATCAGTTNGTTTTATAAGTTTTAAAACAATTACAAAAATATAATTTTCAAGCTTTTTATTTTTTAACAATAAAATAATAGAAGTTATTACAGTTTTTCACTTTTTACTTGTTACAAAAGTATAGGTACCTGTACACTTTCTAAAATTAAATAAAATTATGTTTAACATTCTTCAAACCCTATCAATATTTTTTTCCTTTGTACAAACACGATGTAGTACAATCACTCGACCACTTAGCACCCTTTCATCATTAACTTTTATTCAGTTTTATTTTTATTTATTTATTTATTTATTTTTACTTTTCTCGTCTCGGAGCGCTAAGAGGCCTTTTAAATTACAACCATAGTAAATTCGACAGGACAATAATAGTGAGGAAGAATAATGAGGAAGGGGAAGAATGTCCATGAAAAATTCCCGGGGAGTTGCAGGACAACTCGAGTCTCCCAGAGCGGTAGGATGAAGCCTTCAATTCGGCTGTCTAAAATTTAATTTAAAGTATCAGACAGAAATTAATGTATATATTTAAATTATTTTATTCTAGTAAATTTGCTAATCAATCTTCAATAAGCATGTTGCAGTCATTTAAATCATTCATAAAGAAGACCCTATAACAAAATACTTATCACTGATCTATATCAATTATTAACACATCAAGTCGTTTTTCCTACTTGAAAAATATTGCTAAATATCTTCACTATAATACGAAAATATCAAAGAAAAAATTATTTAAATTGAAGCGCGCGACACAATATTTTGGTATAGTCCTATGATTTCAACGTCAGTGATGATAATTTCAAAAAGTTAATTCACTCGTTCAATAAAACCAAAAATATAAATTAACTTCTTATAATGACGAAATACATATTTATCATTTAATAAACATTAAATCTGGAATGATTGATTTAAGAGAGCGCGATGTCACGCGCTTCACCCCATAAAGAACTTTATTATTTTTTTCTTAATTCATTCCTCGTCTTTTTTTTATCTATCGATATACAGTAAAACCTGTGTAAGACGGAATCGCACGGCACCGAATATTTTTCCGGTTTGGCAGTTTTTCGTTTTGCACAGTTTTTTTTTTTTTTATTAACCTTGCCGTTCCGAATATTATTTCCATTTAGGCAGGTTTACGTTGTACTCAGGTTCCATTTGGACAGGTTTTACTATATTAAATACACACACTAATGTTCCTTTTAAATGATAAAGATGATCCAATAAAAACTCCATTAAAAGATAAACAATATTAAATTTAAATAGATACATTTTTAAGTAATAAATACAAATTTTATTTAAATGTTGTTAATTAAAATACAGTCGAACCTCGAATAACAGCAATAACCTCTACATAGCGGCCATTTTTTTGTTAACAATAATCATACAACTGTGTTTTTTTTCTTTCTTTCTTTTGTTCCCATCGGTGGACGTTGTTCACAGGTTTGGCTTGTAAACATCTTTTAAAAATTCGATTTTTTTTAAACTACAAAAAAACTAGAATTAACTAACTAAAAAAAATATTAATAAGTAGTATTTTTACAAAATTTCCTGATTACGAATTCATGTTAATGAAGCAATTGATGTTTGTATCAATAAAGCGTATAGTTTCGAATGACCTTAATGATCCAACAATGCAGTTTTTCAATTAATTTATACGCAATTTTCATTATCATCATCTGCAATTTTACCTTCATTAAGCAGAATATTGAGAAATTTTAATAACTGATTGGTGTCATAGAGCGCATTCATTACAGGTCTCCGAGATAAGCAACGAGAGCTGTAATTGGATAATATCAACGAATAGAAAGAAGGTCAGAGGTCGCATTGGGATGCTTCTACGCGTACAAATACATAAATAGGAAGATTTTCAAGTTTTCATTAACAGTTTCTCATTAAAATTCGTCGAGAGAATATTCATTCTACTTTAATAAATTTTAAGAAGTAAGTTTGTATCAGTGCATATAAATTTACTAGAAACTAAGTAATTAATAGTTTTAATTTAAAAGTATACACACTGTATATATTATTTTAATTTAAAACTAGATATTAAATTAAAATTAAGTTCAGAATTTTTAATATTTAACTATGATTTAAAAGTTATCATCATGTACAAACTTTGTTTTTTAAATGCTATTTTATAGTAAGATAAATTATTTATATGTTAAAGAGTTGAATTTAAAATGAAAATTAATTAATATTTAAACGGATTTTTAAGTATTAAATATATTATCTTTAATTTATATAATAATTTAGGTTAAATATTTCAATAATTCTTGCTTGCATCATTTTTCGATTTATAAAGTAATATATTTAGTAATTTTAAGAAGAACGTAAAGAATTTATCGTAATTACATAAAATTATTCTTTTTATAAACATTAAACTAAAATTTATTGATAAATGATCAACATTTATTTAAGTTCGGTTCGTATTTTGCTAAACTTGTACTTTAAACTTTATCTGTACACGCAAAGTTCAAATTTATCGAAAGATGTATTTGTATAAAAACTTTCTTCATGTAAATATGAATAAATATAATTTTATAAATACGAAAAAAATAATTTAAATAATAAAAAAATCTAGTACAAACTTTAAGATACTGTTGTTATGTTTTTTTTAGTTAAAAATAAGTATTTTTGTCAATATTTGTAACAAAATAGGTCAGAAACCTTTCGCATATTCATAGGCCTTATTCTCATAGAAGCTATAATCAAATTTGTATGCAAATATCAAGTTTGACGTAAGCAAAAATAATTAATATTATACAAAAATGGCTACAAACGAAATCAAATGCGTAAATTGATTTTATATTAATCTTGACTTACTTCCTGGCTCGTTACTTTCTTCAACTTTTCACTTTTATTTTGGCGTTTTTCCTTGTAAATACATTAATTTCTCTCTTGACTAGATCTCAAACATGAAAACAAAGACCCACTGGAACGTAAATTCATCCAAAATCGCCGAAAAAACTTGCAATCCTATTCGATCACTCTTCGAAGTTTTAAAATTGGAGCCAAATCCTGAAAAACAAATGATAGCATTGTCTTTAGGTAAGTAATCTATTTATTAAATTTTACGAAAATTTATAAATTATTTAAAAAATTCTCTATTAATTAATTAGGTGATCCGACTGTTTTTGGAAATTTAAATCCCAGCGATGAAGCCATAGAAGCGATTATAGAAAGCGTAAATTCAATGAAGTTTAATGGATATGCACCGAGTACAGGTAATTTATAATATACACAGGATGGGACATCTAAATTACTTAATTTATAGTATCTCGTTAGTAAAATTCATGAATTTGTTACGGGATGAAGCACTTGATACGTCTGGTTCTTCTCATCTATCACCTTAAAACAACCCATTAATTGATATCGAGGGGCAAAGACATAACAAATTCATTATCGAAACGTAGTCGAACTATAAATTTAAATAATTTTGATTTCTGCAACGTTAAATTTTATTCCAGAAATTAGTTTGAGGAGTACTTATGTAATGCAACACTGATTTAACGACTGTTCCCCTGATGTTTTGCGAGTCATCCTGTGGTTAACTAGTGCACGATAATGATTAAACTCCAATAAAACACTAAAAAAAACAATTACAATTCATTTAGTAAAAAAACAAATTACATAATTTATGAATATATTTTTTAATATTTAAACTTAAGAAAATACATCCTCACTATGATAAATCTAAGCTTTAAAAAAATATATATAATTTTTCTTCAAAATCATTTTAGAATGTTACAAAACTTACTTAAGTGCAAAAAGAAATTAAATTTTAGTTCTAATTTCCTTTAATTTTAATTTTACACATTTCTGTACAAATAATCGTTCACTGTCTTCATTATTTGTATACAAATTATTACACATTACTAGACCATTATTTTTGCGACCTAATCGGTTTTTGACAAACCGTCGTTAAGCGAGCATCTTAATTTCCATAAGTTTAATGTTATAAATTATGTTCTGAAAAATATATTATTTGTTATGTAAACCATACAGAGATGCATGACTTAAATGAAGCATTTATGCATTCAGAAAATTTATACCGTAAAAGTAGGAATTTAAAAGCGATCGGTCGTAAAACGAGGTTATACTATACCATATATATAGGTCTATATATAATCTAAACAAAGGAAGAAAGAATAAACACAAAGTTTTGTAATATTTAGTGCTTTTTAAATAACTAAATTATATTTTTCCTAGAGAAAGTTTTGTAAGAAAGTTTTTAGAATTTGATGATAATATCGCAACATTATTAATTTTAATATTAAATAATTAATATATTTAACGCTTGTTATAAAATTTATTATACATTATAACTTAAAACTACAGCTATTAATAGCAATAACAAGACATAGAAGACTTACACATTTAACGAATAATTAATTGAAGATTATTAAGACCTTCACTTGATTATGTGTGCCTTTCTATCTCCCATATAGCAGCTTATACTAATAATTCTCTTATTTGATTATATGGTTTTTATATAGCTTAAATTTAACTTTAAAAATTCTTTTAGAAGTTTACATTTGCGCCAATTAAATTCATTTTTATTCAACTGGAGCTATGTTATAACCTTGAATAAGTGATTTAAAAAAAAAAAAAAGCGAACGTCACCTTCATAGACGATTTACTATTGCTGAAGGTGATCTTTGCCATTTTTCTAATTAAAAAAAATAGCAGTTCAATGATTTTATTTGATCCTATTCTTGAATTTGGAATTAGAATATTAATAAACTGCACCTGGGTTCAGTTAAGAAACAGTAAGAGAGATTTTTAAGTTCTTTTCGAATTAAAAAACTTTAATAATAAAAAAAGGCAAACTTTTTTTTAATTTAACGTTTATATTCTGTATAACAGCATACATTTTTATCACTATTGTACTGAGTTGATGACGGAAGAAATGATAACTAAGCAGCGATATTAATTTTTTAAAAATCACGCTTTTCACACGACAAATGTAATCAGTAATAATTTAATTTTGTGAATCTATCTTATCAGTTTTCTGGGAATTTTGACTATATTTCAAAAATAATTTAAAGTTCTAACTTAATTTCACTTATTTGAGTAAAATAATTAACTTAATTATAGTTATAATTTCATGTATTTCCGAATTAATACAGATCTTTGATGTTTTTGCCTTCTCTGATGCTCACATTTTTAATATTGGAATTTGTAGTAGAAATATGTAAAAAAATNACGAGGACTTTTTGCGTGCCTTCTGGATCTTCATTAATTAAAATATTAAATGTTACTTTGACGTGAATACATGTAAACAGACTCGCTATATTTTATAATGGTATGTACACACAATAATTGATGGGATATTTGTTTATAGGCGGCCTTGAAAACCATTCCCTATAATCACCGTTATTTTGGATGTTCGATTTAGGAACGACTCGATTTATGACAAAAATCTTTAAGCCGGGGATTACCACACTTCGTGTAACGTAATATTGTACTTATCACTTCAACTAGTTTCTTATTTATATACATTTAATGTAAAGAATCTCGGCAGAGTTTAATTTATTTTAAAAAAAATATTAATTCGTTTTAAAGAATGAATTTAAGAAAGAAAAAAATATTTGCAAAGTTGGCGCTTTCTCACACGTTGAAATATTCTGATACAATCAATCACATGAGCATGATCAAGGGTTACAAGGTTAAATGTTAAAGTTGATTGTTAAGATATTAAACACTGTGTTTATACATTGAAAATTTGAATAAACAAATGTAATGATGAAATAATCATTAATTAATTTTTATATTTTATTTAATAGCTAATTGTTTAAAATAAATTTTAAAACAAAAAAAGTAATAAAGTTCACCTATAAGTTTCTTTACATACAATAATTTACAACAATTTTATTAACCGTTAAGAAGGGAAAATCGTGGCGTTATGTACACCGATCTCTAAATAAAAAAAATTGAATAATTAATAATTTTTTAATAATATTATTTATTTTAAATACAGTATTATAAAGCATTCGAACAATTTTACAATTCTATTAAATTCTTCTTTCTTCTCATTATTAAGCAGAGTAAGTGCTTTAACAATTCCATAACCTTGATATTTATTATTTAAGAAAAATATATATGTATATAATCATGTGATTAGGTGTTTAGATACTTAACATTTAACCTCTCTTAGGACAAAAGTCAAGGCAAGGAGATTATCCTTTCAATAAACAAATTTTCGTAGTTTATGTGATTTAAATGTATCATTTCATTCCTCAACAGTATTGGTAAACATCCGATACTTATTTTTTCTACTATATATATGTAGAAAATATTTAAAGATATAAAATATTAGTTAAGGATTTTTGAAAATGAAATTTTTATATCATTAAATGCATAAAAATTTAAATTTCAGGATGTTATTTTAACGAGTGGGTGCTCTCAAGCGCTCGATCTCTGCATCACTGTGATTGCTAATCCAGGACAGAATATTTTGGTTCCAAGACCAGGATTTCCTCTATATCGCACTTTAGCGGAAGGTTTAGGAATAGAAACGAAACATTATAACCTACTCGTGAGTAAATTTTTGTGGATTTATCAATTTTTTTTTTAATCAAAATTTAACATTTTAAATACTGATTACAGCCCGAACGAGGATGGGAGATCGATTTAGATGATTTGGAATCGCAAATCGATAGTCAAACTGTCGCCATTATCATTAACAATCCTTCGAATCCTTGTGGTTCTGTTTTCTCAAGATTTCATCTTCAGGAAATTTTGAAAGTGGCGGAAAGAAATTTTATTCCGATAATTGCTGATGAAATATACGATTACTTTGTAAGTACTGTATTTCATTATTTACTAAAGAAACCTCATCTCATCTCACTTCAATAGACAATGTTATGAAATTAGATCCAGAACAGGGATTAACTTTCTGTAATCTAAGTATGAAATTTATCTACGGAACCAGAAAATAATCTGCAGATAGATTTCATGTGGACTATAAACTTGTAATTTATATTTTATTTTATTCTCTACGAACGTAATTCTCAGAAAGGTTCCATATGCTTCACTACACTGCTATAGAGTGGTCTATGGCACAAGAAAACGTAGTTAAAATTTCATCATTAATATACGTAAAGTGATATTTATTTTTCCTTAAGTTTTAATTTAGGTAGGTAAAAATTGAAGTAATATTGCATTACATTACGTATTAAAAAGTAATTTAAGATGTGAACATAATATAAACTCAATCATACAAAAATTATTGATGAAATATGATATAATGATGTAACTTAACCTATTCAGTACAAAGTATTTAGTGTTGAGTTTATGCAATTTCATAATGTTTACTATTTTTTTTTAATGCTTATATTGCAATTGCATTTTAATTAAACTTGGGCAATATAGGTTATCAATCATAACAACGAGTCTTTCTAAATAATTTTAATATAAACATATACATTTGTAAATAATTTAATTTTGCATTTATAGAATAAAAGTTCAATAACTTATAAATTATAGGGGAGACCGGGGCAACTTCGGCATGCGGGGCAAGTTTGTCAAGCGCTTTTTTTTTTTAAAAACAAATTAAAAGGAGACTTTGGTTATAGGTTAGGCAGTTGAGTTTTATTGGTGGCTTGTTGAGTGTAGTGTTTTTATTGTTCTCCAACAAGCGTAGTTGAATTATCAAGCAAATTTTCATTTTCGTTCAATTCCATATAATATTTTTTTTCCATTTATATTGAATTGGCAGGTTTTGTTATAATTCCATGATAACGAAAGTTACTTTTCCTGTTAGAAGGATGTAACTTCAACTTATTCACGTGGCCAGATCGTGGCTTGGCATTCTGTTCTCAGGGTTGTACTTAATGTTTCGAAATCATGACTAGCGGGGTAAGATCGGCAACATAAAGCCACATTAGAAGCAAAGGATAAAAATCAAACAGATGATAAATGAAAACATGTTTGCATTTGTTATTCATGTATATATGTCTTTGAACTTGCATTTCGTTGTAATAATATTAAATGGGTGTTGGATTTGTATTTCTTTGTTTTAATAGTGAATTCCAACTTATACATTGTTAATAACATAATTTTATATACGTGCCTATCTTGCCCCATTACTGTTGCCCCTATACCAGGGGCAACTTTAATAAAAATAATTAAAATAATTACAACTTTACAAAAAGAGAGAAGTTGCCGATCTTGCCCCTATACCCGGGGCAACTTCGTCAATTTCTCTCTTCTTGTAAAGTTGTAATTATTTTAATTATTTTTATTTCCAAACTGATTTTAACCAGTTCTATAGTAAGGTAACATTCCAATAGACAATATGCAAAGCTTTTTTTTTCAGTTTACAGCAGTATTTATTACACAAAATTTAAGTAAAGCTTAACATGCCGATCTTGCCCCGGTCTCCCCTAATATTTAAAAATAATTTCTTTAAGTAATTTGTTCAGTATATTAGGATTTAAACTCTTTGTTTGTATTTAATTGCTTCTCAAGTATTTGTAAAATTATAAATATTCAATTGTAAAATTGTAAATATTAGGTATAAATATTTGTGAATTCAGTATTTTTAAACAAGAACATTCAACTAGATCAATGATTCTTAACCTTTTTCGCCGTTATATCGTTGAATTTTTAAAATGTAGGCCCTACTCTTCCACCCCAAAATAAAATCAGTTGATTTTACTTAAGAAGGCAAGATCGTGTAATTTTTTCACATCCATTTTAAGCTTAACTTTAGATACACGTTAAGGAATTAAGAAAGAAAATTCGTGCCCATTAATCAATGTAAACAAACATTCAGGTATAGATTAGGAATTTATAACAGAAATAGTTCAAATTATACATTTAATTCCCATTTCTGTCTGTAGAGAAAAAAAAGATTTAAAAAGTTCAATTAAAGAGAAAATTTTATCTACCAGGTATGGCTCGCACCTTGTTTTAGCAGTGCTTATAGTCAGTATAGTTGTTTTAACAGCATTCTAGGCCTCTAGGAAAGACGGTTCACCGGGCCCTATCTTCCCAACCGGCGGATGATCGAAAAATTAGTGTTAAATTCTGGCCTGTGCATAAATAAGCGTGGGTCCTCCAGGAAACTGCCCAGAGTGCCCATGTATTAAGACGGCACTGCTTATATTCCATGCTAATAACCTCTGTTAGATTATTACTATGGTTAAAATAATTGTAGAAACTTAGCAACAGCATTTGATATATTAGTTGTGGGTTCGATCCCTTTCAGAATTTTTTAATCATTTTTTGATTTTTGAGGATAAATGTCGCCTGTATAATACAGTTTATATATTGAAAATTATGCAATTTATTGACGTAGTTTAATTAAATGCATTAAAATGGATTTAAACATTTATTATTGAAGTATTAACTTTATTTATCCCTGATAAAATTATCTGACCAATATTGACCTCTGATTTCCACTAATATTTATATAAAACCAGCAAAAATTTTTTAAATATATGCTTAATAAATTCTTAATAAATATTAAATTTTAAGATATATTTTTTAAATTAATCTTTTAAAATCTTTTTAGGTATTTCCTGGATTCGAATTTATTCCTATCGCCAGTTTATCTACTAACGTCCCGATATTAACGTGCGGTGGATTAACAAAAAGGTATATTAAAAATAATTTATATTTGTAATGAAAAAATTCAAAATATTATATATAAGTTTAATTAATATATTTAGAAAGATTATTTGTTAAAAATTAAATTATAAAGTCTTATTCTATATATTTTAGACACTTAGTTCCGGGATGGAGAATGGGTTGGATTCTCATTCACGATCGAAATGATGTATTTGAAGCTTCTGTAAGTAAATATTTCGCAGGTTTAATAAAAGAAATATAAATAAAAATTTTGAGAATTACTATTAAACACTTGTTAACGTAAATATAAAATATAAACACATTTTTCTTTCCATTTTAACCTTTACTCTACATTTTTTCATCATAGCTAGAGCAATTTCATACAGATAAACACTTTAATATATTCTGTAGATGATGTTAAACAGTATTTTATTAACTTATTAAAATATTAAAATTTACGCGTTAAAAATTTATAAAAACATAATGAACGAGAAGTTTCCGCGAGAAAACAAATTTAGTGTCAAAACTCACCACTACTTAACCCGACTACCAACGACTAAAAATATGTGGCACAACACACACGTGCTATGGTCAATATCTAGTTATTAAACCGTTTATGTCATGTGAAATACTATTCTTATTTCTGCAGATCAGTAGCTATGATCATGACTGTGCTTGAAGCTGTTCTCCGGACAACACTGAATAAGAGTATTTTAATTATGTTCACTCTGTATTTAGTAATCTTAATCAGTTTCAATTATACTCGTTCGTAATTTAATATCTGCCAGTGTGTAAAAATTTACTAAAACACAAGCTAAAAAAGTTAACTTAATTTTTTAAATACAGTAGAACCTCGAAAACTCGGCTCTCGATAACCCGGCACTACGGATAACTCGGCCACACCCTGACAGGGCAAAAAAATCCTTAGTTAATTAATTTTCATTATAGCAGCTTTATAAAAGTATAAAAGCTCTCATATAGTATTTTTCTGAGGTCTGTCTTATCAGGTAAATTACTTTACACAGTGTATTCATTAATTTTCATTTTCATGTAGTAAAGGCTCTATGCCTTCATAAAGGACGTACTTTTCCTTTGTTTAAGGGTATTTGGGCAGTTTATTCTCTGTTATATTCTCAAGTAAACAATACATACAAGTACAGTACAGTATTTTCTGAGGAAACACTCGTACTTATTTTTTTTAACCCCATTCCCGATAACCCGGCATTTTCACAAACTCGGCCACCCTTCGGTCCACATTAGGCCGAGTTTTCGAGGTTCTACTGTATATAGAAAAAATAACATTAAAACAAATTAAATATAAACAGCTTCAGCGTATCTTTTATTTACTATAGTAAATGCAATAAATGAAATCTCACACAATAGTAAATTTATTTCACTTGAATTTAAGCATTTAAAGAAGGAATTTAATTATACTTATTTTATTTATTTATGTTTTTTTTTATTTGAACAGATAAGAAATGGTTTATTATCCTTGAGTCAAAGAATAATCGGTAGCAACACCATCGTTCAAGGGGCACTTCCTGCTATCCTCAAAAATACACCTCAATCATTCTATGATGAAACCATCGAAATAGTTAATGTACGTTTAAGTTTATTAATTTATTATGTATATATAAATCGCTCTTAAATATAAACAATAATAAATTTTAATATATTTTATAGAGCAATGCCAAATTTGCCCATTCTTATTTATCCAAAATACCAGGATTACATCCCATAACACCTGCTGGCGCTATGTATATGATGGTAAATACTTATTCATACAAAATAAACTATAAATTATTTTGATTTATGAATACTTAAGATAATATTTCTTATAGGTTTACATTGAGATGAGTTGCTTTCCCGATATAAAGCACGACACACATTTTATGGAAGCCTTAATTTCAGAACAATCGGTTTCGTGTTTACCTGGATCGGTATGTATAAAATTTAATAAAAACTGTACGCACATTTCAATATTATAATGTTAAATTTGAATTATTTTTCTAGTGCTTTGATTTCCCAGGTTATATTCGCATTGTATTGACATTACCAGAAGAACAATTGAAGGAGGCTTGCGAAAGAATAGAGCAATTTTGTTACAATCATTACGCCGTTCCCAAGACGAACGATCGCCCGACAGATCTGTTTTTGCAACAGATGATCACTATGCCGGTATGATGAAGATTCATCATCATCTTGCATATGTTAATCAAGAATTATTATAGATTCGAGAGAGTTGTAATCCTTACCATATTATGGTTCACTGTTCCTCCTATCCGAGGTTTTGCAAGAAGATGAATGACGAAGGAGGCTATTATAAGTACGAAATATGTTAAATATGTTATACGAAAAACTAAAAATTGACAAAATATTTATCCTGGAAACTAAGAATGATGTCTTGAAGTGGAACAAAATTGTAAATAATTGTTTTTATTAGTTGTAAATATGTTGAAAAGTTGTAAATATTTATGAATTGTGATGCCATTTCGAACAGAATATTTTTGTTTTGTATACACAATAAATGAAATGCGTCGAAAATAATGTCAACAGAATATAAACTGCACAATAATTCTTTTGTTACACCGAAATTTGTATCTTGGAAAGACATCAATAAAATAATAATTTTGCCAGGACCTAGTTTGTTTTATAAAATTAATTTTAAAAATTATATTCCTTGTTAAGAGATGAAAATATTCTTATAAATATGGAATATTTTATTTAGTTCAATTTATAGTTTGAAAGATAAATTTAGTTTATAATAATAAATTCGTTTCAAAATTTTGATATTAATCGTTGGTAAAAAATTGTCGTGATAATAGCATGATGCAATAAGTAATTCATCTGTTCTTATGTGCTCACCACCCATCCGGCCTGAAAAAAGGCTGTCTTAGTGCCCACAGAGTGGTGTCCAAAAAAAAAAAAAATTAAGTGAATCAAAGGATTGCTATTGCTTGTTTATTTGATACGGCAAGGCGACGCGACATGGATGACTCCCGGAAGGACTTTCTAAAAGAAACTGTCTCTATTTAGGTGTTGAAAACGTAAAGAAAAACGGAAACCTCCATGTGACTAACTTTGTCCAGACCCGTTGCCCAGACGCGAACTCACGATCGACTAGCGTTGGTCAATGGTTTTTATCTATTCGATCACTGGTGGGCACTAAAGACCATTATCACTACAATATGATGTAAATTTTGAAAGTGATTCTCTTTTTCGAGTGACGATTATAATACAAGCGTATGAGATGCCATACTGGGCGCTTAGGCCGTTCGACCAATTGGAACAAAACTCGCAAGTTACGTTCACATACTTATATCTTGGATAATGGCTTATCTCACTCCAAAATATTGATCGGATTTCTATATATCGATTCATTTCTATATACACTACTGTACAGTACATTTATTTGCTGGCATTTGCATGTAGTGTCATCTATTGGAAAAAAATTTAACAAAATACTTAACTACATATAATTCTTACAAACAAAATAATTTTGAAAAATATATATTATATTCATTTGATTACTGCGACAATGATATAGCGCGAAATAAACGCGCTATTAGGTGCTATTCGCCATTATTGAGATAGGTAGCACATAGCACTTGTCGGCGTGGAGTGGTGTTTTGCTCCTGTACAGTACATTATACTTTTCCTGTTAGCAACAGGGTCGTGCCGGTTACGTATCTAACTTCGATCAGTGGAAAATATTTGAATTGAAATAACGTAACGTCCGAAACAAACCGGAAGTTCTTGTATAGTTAATCTGGGCCTCATTCACCTAATCTTTACGTATCTGGTCTCGAATTTTATCTATCAAAGTCCGTTCACGATATTAAGAAAAAGCAGACAGACAGACGGATGTCAATGGAAATTTATAGGTCTACAGTTTTTGAAAATGCAGCTTAATAAGTAACCGAATGGGATAAAACCACCGAACACCGCCAACGAACTAGCCACGTGCAGTTTTCTAAGTTTTCTTCACGTTAGTAACACGTAAATAGGGACCGGCTATATATATATGTCTTCCGAGATGCATCCGCCTCGGCAGATCGTTCACATATAGCGTTGCGGTAGCCAAATAAACCAACAAATTCTAATAATTTTTTGTATAAACGCGATACTTTCAAGGACACGCTTAACTACCAGAATACCTGGACATCTCGCCCCAATTCCCGATTTCATCTTCCCATAGTAACTCACACCCAAACTTCCTTCATTGATACTCCTGAAGACATTGTAATGTTCAATCAAATTAATTTACATGAAACGATTTTAAGTATGATACCTTCATTCAATGTTTACGTATTATAATATATTCATAATTATTTCGATTTGAGAAGTTTTGATACGAGGGACGTCAACTAATCGTTCCTACATTGAAAAACGTAATAGCGGCGTGAAGAATTATTTCATTAAATACAGTTTTGGTGCCATAAACATTGAATGAAGATATTGTACTTAATTTTATTAAAATGTGTTTCGTGTACGCGTATATCCTCGATAAAACGGTAATAATTTGAGTAAGGCTGATCTAAGCGTAGTTGACGGCAGTTTCTGTACCTATAAAGCTTACAGGTATGTTTTTTGGGGATGATAAGTAACTTGTTTATAAATGATTCAGTTATAATTGTTCAAAAGTCGTGCATAATTACATCTTAAATACAAACAATACACTTATCGCTAATGCCAAAATACTTATGCATTAGCTTAATACTTATGATTTTGCATCCATTTAATGCTGTAAGATATTAATTAAAGTATTTTAAATAATATATATCTAGAAAAATGAGTTTGCAAAGCTTTTGTCTTATAATTGATTTCTTCATATGAAAATTCACAACATGTTTATATTTAAAAATTTCAATTTCACCATCGGTGGTAACGGATAACACCGAGGATCGGCATATGACCTGTTTCGCCCATATTCTAAAAAATGCACTTACTATTGGATGTTATCACTTATTTTTCCAGTAAGACCCGATATTTATCATATACAAATTTTGTGTAGCAATGATCATTGGATTTATTTACATTACCACACAAAACGCATTCGTATATACGATTCTATGAATTATGACAAAATATCTACGGAATATTCTTACAGAAATTGTATCCTGATGTTAATATTGACATATACGTTGTATTTGAGCTTTCCGAGAGTACAAAAATGACATGGAGTCGACTGCGGTGTATATGCAATCGCATTTGCCAACTGATTAGCATTTGGTATCAAACCCAATACGAGTCGATATGACCGCAGACAAATGCGCTGTCACTTATCAAAAATATTTAATTCGTATAAATTAGAACCTTTTTATCAGATATCATTAAAAGGTGTTGTTAGAAAAATTTAACCCTTTCCACTTGCTTTGAAAGATAGATTAAACTTTTACACAGTGTACGTTTAAAATATATAAAACAGAGCGTATTTCGTCTGCTGTTAAAGACAAAGTAATCTCAAATCATCCGAGTATATTCCGACTGCTAATTATTACAAGGAAAGTACTATAAAAGATAGCATTTTGTCTTCAATTTTTGACAACGTCCTAGCAAAATCACCAGGCTCTGTGTGTTTACTAGAAGATAATAGCCGTATTCCTTTACATAAACTTAAAAAACAATATTGTAACTGTTTATAAACAGCACAAAATGAAAGGACCTGTGATAATCCCAGAAAACATACCTGTAAGCCTTACAGGTGAAGAAACTGCCGTCAAGCATGCGTAGATCAATTTTTTCAAATTATGAACGTTTTATCTCAGATGTACACGAAACACATTTTAGTAAAATTAAGTCACAAAGTACAGTTCGAAGTCTTTTTCAGTGTTGAAGTTTATTTTTTATATTTAGTATCGTGCCGACATTGCTTCATTCAAAACTTCCTGTAGTTGTAGTCTATGTAATGTGCATTTTATTCATATATTCAGTCTTACTGTCAAATCTGCTTCCAGTATGCTTATACCACAGCTTTCAAAAGTTTTTCTTCAGTTAGATGTTTTTGCTGAGCTTTACAGCTTTTTACGGGATCACATAAGAGCAATTATTTTTGCATTTTTACAAGATTTTTTTATTTAAACAAGTCATATGAAGTCTTTCGGAAGGTTAGCAATTTCCATCACACGCACAACCTGTCTAACACGGATCAGTTTTTAACTATTAATAGTAGATCAGTATTAATAAATAGTCGTCGACCATTCTCTCATCTGGGAGGAGGTCAAAGACGACTTTTGATCGAATTTACTTTAACCCCCTTCCGCGGCAGTACATTCTTTCTATCAAACCATCGGTATGGTGGCATTCGAATATGAAAATTGCGGAATACGAGGTTACTAGTCTGCACAAATTGTGATTTAAGTGGGTTTCCAGGGTGCCTAGTTTAAATATTTGTTCCATTTTTCGCGAAATTTGATTCGGCTGTGAATGAAACAATTTGTTAGTGTTAACATTAGAAAAATTTAAGATTGATGTCTACTTGACCAATGAAATTGCGCCATTTCGTACCGTCAGAGTATCGCGATAAACGTGACAATGGTAGGCTGAAGTAACCAAATTCCTTATATGGATTTATTTTAATGATTATTATATTACAGGGGTGGGCAAGCAAGAGTTCAGTGGGACCCGAAATGTAGGTTTTGCAAAATGCATGGGAGCCGCAATTCTGTACCGCAGATATGTACCGCGATTTTATTATATAATATAAATATGATATAAAACAAATATTGAATTTTTTTAATAAACATATTTTCACAAAATTGTGGAAATAAAATTGTAAAAATAATAATAATAATCAGAAATTAACACTTTCAGCAAGAGACGCATGTAACTCAAAAATAGCCGCATTTGCCCATGTCTGTTATATCATATCATATTTGATTTATATAACTACAAAGGCTATCTTATCCCCGACCTAATCTGAAGAATTAAAGGTAATGGTAACAATTATTAAAAATGAAAAGAAAGTTTTTATTAGATGCAAATTTATTGAAAACATACATTCCCTTGTTGTTTCACGGTAAATATAACAATAGTAGCCCAATTATCCAAATCTTTAATATGGTTATTATTTTAATGTTTGACCTTATTACTTCTCGATCTGGCAGCACGAGTAATCCGTTTATTCGGTGCTGCTTGATCGACAAGTAATAAAGTCAAACATTACTGAACAGGGGCCTCTAAAAGGCGAGAAGAGACCAGGGCCATTCACTATTTGAGGCCTTTGTAAATGGGAGGCTCTAACGAATGGTCCTGGCTGACTCCTTGGTAGGGATTGAATGTATCACTAATTAAAATTCGCTGTAAACAATTATCATCGCTGCGTTTTGATTATTGATAGGCTGTTGGTATACATAACTACCGTCCTTCTCTCGAAGGTTTTGTACATTTCTAACCTTCCAAGTTGTTTCGGCCGAGGCAGTATTTTCTCTCCGTGGCGTATTTTTCGTTTCTAAGGAGTGAGTAAATTGTAGGGTTCTTCTAAAACCTTACAATTTCCTTACTCCTTACTGCTTAGAATTCTGTGTTTACTACATGGGTTATTTCCTTATAAGTTACATAGATCATAAGTTACATCACACGGTGACTACAACACCGTGTGATAGAACTGCCTCGGCCGAAACATTCGGAAATGATAGATATCTACAAACTGTTCGGCTTGAACATGGATAGTTCATTTATACGTTACCGTAGGCCTATAATCATACAATTTAGCAAATTGGCTGGGAAAATGTACTGTTATAAACTTTAGAATCTTGCATTTTTATCTTATACATTGAAGTTGCATAGAAGTTTGAATCTTCTATCTTTCCAGAGGCAATTAGTGAATGGTCACCGTAGAGTCAATTGCCGCCAACTTTGATGTTAGAAACAATAATGTAACGATACAATGACGTCATCTATGTTATTATCAAAATATATTTTAAATTGTCATCGTGTTTCCGAATGCCGTTTAGTAAAATCGTTATAAAAAGTTTTAATTGGTATAATAAAAAAGTTTTAATTGGCTTTTGTAATTCTGAGTAACATTTTGAATAAGATTCATTCGTTTCCATCCAATTTTCTTCTTATAAGCATAAAATTAAATCGTAAAATTGGATTAGCTGTATGCGAAACTCCCGTAAACTTTCATCTATCGACCCGAAAGTTTGGCCAGTACCTCGCCGATAATGAGAAAGGATTAGGTTTAGAATTTGAGCTTTCTATGCCCTGTAGTTTTTCTCTAAGGCCGAAAAATGAAAAGAAAATAAGCTTTTTTGCAGATTTTAGCACTTTTCGATTGCTTATATTTCGGCAACCCCTTTATACAAAATTTCGAAATTTTCATACTGTAATGGGCACAATTATAACTCTCATAAGTAATAAATCAAATTTTTCATAGAATATAAACTAAATTATCTTGTGTTTTAATCATTTATAAAGTAATTCATAATTAAATTAACTCAGAAAAAATTTTAATTAAAAAAAAATTAATTACAAGAGATTTTAAACAAGTCATAAATTTTTATTATAAATGTAGTTTAAAATGTTTGGATGGATCGATTTTCCGTGCGAAGTAACATTCGAATGTCGAAAAATCTTGGGTCTGTAAATATAAAAGAATTACATTAAATAACTCGTAACTATGATACTAGAAATAGGAGAAAATTTTTAAATTTCTTCCTATTTCTAGTATCATAGTTACGAGTTATTTAATAAATAAAACGAAAAAATGATATTTACCTGTAGAGATTGTGCCACAAAAGCCTTTGGTTATCTCACTATTGCGGGGGTTACTTTCTCCAGACATTTGTTTTCTTCTTCTATTGTAACAACCTTTAATGAAAATATTTACATATTTCTTGTATTATTTATGTATATCTTACTATATTACTATGTTACGTATCATTAACACTCACAGTGTTTAAACGTTCTTCGTATTCATAAGAACACAAAAAAGCTTTGAGGAAAGTGTCATCCATCTAAGATTAAAAAAAAAACAAATAGCTTATTTATAAAAGTTTGGTAATTTTTTAAAATTTATTCATTTATTTTAAAAATTTCTTTACATCGTCGTTAGTAACGCATGATTTTTCTAAAAAATCGAAGATTGAAGAGAAACCAATGCAGCCCAAATAACCACGTATCTACGATTAAATATTAAAGATAATTATTATAATTGAATTTAGAAAATAATTTTATATGATTTAATGAGAGACAACTTACAATATCTCTGCTTTCGTCACTCAAGGAAGCATCCAAGCAGGCGGAAAACTCAAACAACTGATCTCTAGTGAATGCTGGAGTATTCACATTTTAAAGATTGGAAAGTTATAAATTTTAAGTTCTATAAATTTCACTTCTTATTATTTACGCTATAATAATCACACTATGGAAATTAAGTTAAAATTGATTGTGTTTACTCAAAAATGTCTGGTACAAGAAAGGTCCAGCAGTGCCCGTGCGAATAAAACCACTGAACATTGGTAGCGGGTTCTGGCTGGTTACGTGTTTTTTGGATATTCATCGCGTATCTAACTGTTCTAACACCTTGGTAGGGCCGGGTTTCCTTTTAAAAGTCCTCTCTGGAGGCAAACTCGCCTTTGATTCCCATGGTTACATTGTCAGTTACCATCATCCTAATACTCATACGAGAAAGGAAAAGATGAATGATTTGTGTGTAAGGTGTTCAATAAATCACGTGTTTCCTATCTTTTTGCTTGTCAACCCAATTGTCGAAATTCAGATTTAATTGCTACCGCTGTGGAAATTCGGACGAACGAAAATCCCAGGAAAATTTTGAGGGTTATCGGGCCCCCTCACTCACCACCCGATCGCTCCCCATTGCGGGTTTGGACGAGCCAATGATGAGTGTGACTATAAAAAGGTCCTGTTAATACTCATAGGGGGGAAAGAGAAAAAGATATAGGAAGGTGTAAATTACNTATCTTTTTGCTTGTCAACCCAATTGTCGAAATTCAGATTTAATTGCTACCGCTGTGGAAATTCGGACGAACGAAAATCCCAGGAAAATTTTGAGGGTTATCGGGCCCCCTCACTCACCACCCGATCGCTCCCCATTGCGGGTTTGGACGAGCCAATGATGAGTGTGACTATAAAAAGGTCCTGTTAATACTCATAGGGGGGAAAGAGAAAAAGATATAGGAAGGTGTAAATTACACTTACCGCATAACTCTTGCACGATTATTTCTTTTCACAAAAGACTTTGCCGAAATGTAACTAATACACATCTGAAAAAGGATGGATATTACGATTTTCCTCATGATTTTTCGATGTAATAACACAATAAAGCTATTTTAGTAATTGGAGACAAATTCAAAACGATGAAAGAATGAATGAAAATTACTCTCCTTACAGAAGTAAAGCAATTATACAAGTACTTGTATATAAACACTAATATATTAATGCCAAGTACAGGAAGCTTTTATCTTAATAACACGTTTCCTTTTTGTTGTTGACGAGCCATTTCTATACGCATTCTAATTGTAATTTATAAATTTTCTCAAATTATCCTTTATACAGATAACTGGGCGAAAAATAATAAGAACAAACATTACTGTACGGGAGCATCTAAAAGACGAGAGGAGCTCTGGACCATTTGCTATTTGAGGCCTCTTCAAATGATATACTCTAACAAATGGCCCCGCTGAACCCATTGATAAGGTTTGAATGTATCACTTTAAAATTTGCCGAAAAAATTATCATTGTTGCGGTTTCAATTCATTGTTGATAGACTGTTTGTATACTTAATCTGAAATTATAGTAGGGTAATGCTTTATACGAGTACATAAATTTCAATGAAGTATTAGTACGCGTAGGTTGCAGTTCTACAAAATCCGGGAAATACATCCTAAATTTTGAAATGTTTTAAACATAGGCTTAATAGATTTAGGATTTCTTGATTTGTTGTACAGTACATGTTATACATTATAAAGTTTTATTTTATATTAATTGTTACTTTTTTCATTGTTCTTTTAAATATATTTAAAAACAGTATAATTATGAATGCCTTTAGAATTTTATACTATAAAATTTCATAATTTTTCCTTTTCACAACATAGGAAACACTGAGAATTTTTTTTCTTTTTAATTTTACACGTTTACACGAAAAATATCCAACAAAAGATCAGTTCCTTATAGGGTTTTTTATTTCCCTGTCTTTTGCTTGTCCCGGGAAGTCCCGCGATATAATTAATTACTTTTAAGATATAAAATAAATCTTAAAATCAAATGATATAATTATTTTTCATTTTTAAGTAACTTAGTACGTCCTGCAACCTCCAAAATAATAATAATAATAATGCTGTGTAAAATATGTATAAAATTTACTTTTGAGTTACATAGAAATTTTCACAAATAGAAAAAATTTATTAAAGTTTGTTGGAAACTGCTTACAACAAAAAAGCCTTTGAATTGAGTTGAAAATTTAAAGGAAAAATGAACTTAGATCAAACTTCTAACTTAGAATCTATTTTTCGTTTTTAAATAAAACACAATACAAAATATTATTGTAAATTTTTATAATAAAATTTTAAAAAGCAAATAAAGTTGATACTCCGATNCTCTGGAGGCAAACTCGCCTTTGATTCCCATGGTTACATTGTCAGTTACCATCATCCTAATACTCATACGAGAAAGGAAAAGATGAATGATTTGTGTGTAAGGTGTTCAATAAATCACGTGTTTCCTATCTTTTTGCTTGTCAACCCAATTGTCGAAATTCAGATTTAATTGCTACCGCTGTGGAAATTCGGACGAACGAAAATCCCAGGAAAATTTTGAGGGTTATCGGGCCCCCTCACTCACCACCCGATCGCTCCCCATTGCGGGTTTGGACGAGCCAATGATGAGTGTGACTATAAAAAGGTCCTGTTAATACTCATAGGGGGGAAAGAGAAAAAGATATAGGAAGGTGTAAATTACACTTACCGCATAACTCTTGCACGATTATTTCTTTTCACAAAAGACTTTGCCGAAATGTAACTAATACACATCTGAAAAAGGATGGATATTACGATTTTCCTCATGATTTTTCGATGTAATAACACAATAAAGCTATTTTAGTAATTGGAGACAAATTCAAAACGATGAAAGAATGAATGAAAATTACTCTCCTTACAGAAGTAAAGCAATTATACAAGTACTTGTATATAAACACTAATATATTAATGCCAAGTACAGGAAGCTTTTATCTTAATAACACGTTTCCTTTTTGTTGTTGACGAGCCATTTCTATACGCATTCTAATTGTAATTTATAAATTTTCTCAAATTATCCTTTATACAGATAACTGGGCGAAAAATAATAAGAACAAACATTACTGTACGGGAGCATCTAAAAGACGAGAGGAGCTCTGGACCATTTGCTATTTGAGGCCTCTTCAAATGATATACTCTAACAAATGGCCCCGCTGAACCCATTGATAAGGTTTGAATGTATCACTTTAAAATTTGCCGAAAAAATTATCATTGTTGCGGTTTCAATTCATTGTTGATAGACTGTTTGTATACTTAATCTGAAATTATAGTAGGGTAATGCTTTATACGAGTACATAAATTTCAATGAAGTATTAGTACGCGTAGGTTGCAGTTCTACAAAATCCGGGAAATACATCCTAAATTTTGAAATGTTTTAAACATAGGCTTAATAGATTTAGGATTTCTTGATTTGTTGTACAGTACATGTTATACATTATAAAGTTTTATTTTATATTAATTGTTACTTTTTTCATTGTTCTTTTAAATATATTTAAAAACAGTATAATTATGAATGCCTTTAGAATTTTATACTATAAAATTTCATAATTTTTCCTTTTCACAACATAGGAAACACTGAGAATTTTTTTTCTTTTTAATTTTACACGTTTACACGAAAAATATCCAACAAAAGATCAGTTCCTTATAGGGTTTTTTATTTCCCTGTCTTTTGCTTGTCCCGGGAAGTCCCGCGATATAATTAATTACTTTTAAGATATAAAATAAATCTTAAAATCAAATGATATAATTATTTTTCATTTTTAAGTAACTTAGTACGTCCTGCAACCTCCAAAATAATAATAATAATAATGCTGTGTAAAATATGTATAAAATTTACTTTTGAGTTACATAGAAATTTTCACAAATAGAAAAAATTTATTAAAGTTTGTTGGAAACTGCTTACAACAAAAAAGCCTTTGAATTGAGTTGAAAATTTAAAGGAAAAATGAACTTAGATCAAACTTCTAACTTAGAATCTATTTTTCGTTTTTAAATAAAACACAATACAAAATATTATTGTAAATTTTTATAATAAAATTTTAAAAAGCAAATAAAGTTGATACTCCGATCAGTCAATTTGATTCTTATTTTAGTAAAGAAAAGTCCCGCTACCGAGAATGCCCTTCTCGATTCAAATTGATGTGGGTGAAATCGTCTTTAATGCATTTAAGAAAAGACGGATTCTGAAAAGTAAAGATGTTTCAGAGTCCTGTCACAAATAGGCTACATATTGATTGTTGACAATTTGTGACATGCTATAATAAGCAAAAATTTAAAAAAACGAATAAGCACGCTCAAAATTAATAAATACAAATGTATTCTGACAATTTGTGGGTTAATTATACTTTCTTTTCGCAAAATTTCTTCAACTTTAATACAAAATTAGAAAAAAGTGAATTTTTTAGAAAATTATGGAATTTCCTGGGATGAGAAGAACTTTCCGGATTAAAAAACAGCCGGGATTCCGTTGGGAACCTAGTTCCTCGGTGTAATCTTTCCTTTCTGAGATACGCAAAGTACAGATTGTAAAGAGACCAATATTTGTCTCTCTGTCTTCTAGTAGCAAATTAATTTTCTTCTCGGTCTTTGTTCTACAAATTAAATAATTCAAAAACACGAAAAATCTTATTATGGTAGGTGTGATGTAGTTTAGCTAACAGAGAGAGAGAGAGCCAGTTTCATAAAACCTGACTAGAAAGCATGAAAAAAATTGCAGAATACGTAAACGAAGATGACGTTGGAAATATATTACAGCCACAGTTAATAACTAACGTATTTTCTGTGGAGGAAATATCATTAAGGTCGGGTTCGAATTCGAACCCCATCCAGCCCTCCCACGTAAGTTTCGGTTAGCAGTTCGGATCGACGCATGGTTTTTCATTTTCTACCCACGCTGCTCTGTTCCATTCTGGATCTAAACTACCTGTAAAGGGCATAAATATTTCCCCATACATACACATAATGTATGTAATCAATCTAGTAGAACAAACTAAATTGTCTCGTGTCGTTTTAACCAGTTATAAAGAAATTCATAATGAAATTAATGCAGAAAGATTTTAATTCAAAAAGTCATTTACAAGAGATTTTAAAACAAGTCATTAATTTTTCATAAATGTATTTAGACGAATCGATTCTCCGTGAGACGTAACATTCGAACTTCGAAAAATCTTGGGTCTGTAAACATAAAAAAATTACATTAAATAACTTATAACTCTATTATGATGCTTGAAACACGGAGAAATTTATAATTTATGTAAAGAAGTAAATAATTATTTCTATTTTTTCTTTTGTGTAAGACAACTTTGGGAAGATTTTTTTTTTTTGCCGAAAAAGATTCGATTGAAATAAATAGAAGACAGGAAATAATAGATTTGTCCAAATATGCCTACTTGTTTCCAAAAGACCCGCTGCTGCACTAATTTCTATGTCATTTCCGCAAACTTTAATGTTTAAAAATGTATCAAACATTTAGAAAAACCAGCTGCATAAGAAAATCGAACGAATGTAGTCGAAATAATATAGAGAATGTCTTTCTTTAAACTTATTCATGCCCCGGACACCTTGAAGTAATCCCGGACGTACCGTACTGTACAGTACGTAGATGTGTAGTGTGCAACTTCATAGTATCTGGTTGGACACTTTTTTGAGGGGACGACACTGACGTATGACACTGATTTGTGATCTAATCACTTTGAAGCCGGTACAATCATGTAAATATAATGAAGAAAAAATATATATATATATATTTACTTGTATAAGTCTGAAAGTCCTTCTCTTGAGGTTATTCCACAATGCCGGCTGTTATTTTCTCCAGACAACGCTTTTCATCTTCTTTATTTATCTTTAAGAAATGTAATCACGTTTTCCTTGTATTATTTATGTATATCTTACTACATTATTGCATTATACATCATAAACACTTACATTTTTTAAATGTTCGTCATATTGATTATAACAAGAAAAAATTCTTTTGGCCTTGTCTTCTGTCTAATATTAAAAAAATTATATATAAAAATTTAATAAATTAAAAAAATATAATATACAGCATATATAAAATTATATATATAGCCTATATAGAGGCTTTTTAAAAACTTCTTTACCATGTCGAGGTCCGAAAAATTGCACGAGGCTTCTAAAAAATCGAAGATGGAAGAGTAACCGAGGCATTCCAAAAAACCATTTACCTACAAATAAATGTTAAAGATCATTATTATAATTAAATTTAGAAATAATTTTACATGATTTAATGAGAGACAACTCACATTATCTCTGTTTTCGTCACCCAAGGAATCGTCCAGGCAATGAGCAAACTCGGACAACTGATCTCTAGATAATGCTGGAGTATTCACATTTTAAAGATTAAATTCAATAAATTATAAATTAATCAAAGTTCTATAAATGTTATTTCTTATCGTTCGCGCCATAATAAACCTAAAATTCCTTCCTAGAACGGCTTGCAAACTTAAGTTACTGCGTTAGGGGTGTTAAATTAAAGTGACTCGTTACTGCATTAGCAGTTAATTCTTACTTTGGATACTTACGTAACGAAGGTTAGGTTAAGGTATATACTTCCAATTTTTCGAGAAAAATGGAAAAAGACGATCGGCAGTAAACATAAAAATAAAAATAAAAACAATTGNAGATTGAAATAAGATTTAATTAAAATTTTTTGTTGCTTTTATTGTAGATAAAAATGCGCACGAACTTATGGACTGACCTGATAATTCTTACTTTGGATACTTACGTAACGAAGGTTAGGTTAAGGTATATACTTACTTCCAATTTTTCGAGAAAAGTGGAAAAAGACGATCGGCAGTAAACATAAAAATAAAAAAAAAAAAAACAATTGGAAAGAGCTTCGACCTTAATTCGAATGTTGATCGCACGTATTTTCCCTCCCTTTAAGCTTTTTTTTCTTCTATAACAATTCTTTTAGCTCACCTCGCTTAAATGTTTAGGACTTATCATACACTAATGATAAGAATTTTAAATTGTAATGATATTATTTTATTAACAAAAATAATTCCAAGAATTTCATAGTACTGCGGGAATATAGTACTGAGGAATCGTTGATTTTATTACAGGTTCGTATTCATCATGTCTAATGACGTCATGCTTATATTTTTATGGATTTTTATTGCCTTCAATCTCTGACACAATACTGCATATCTATTCTGTTTATACTAGTAGCCTGGGACGCCCCCTAGTGGGCGTTCTTACAAATTTCCATGAGGCACGGTTCCTTTGACTTTTTTGTTCCTATCAATATTCTCTACACTACAGCTCTGTTAAAATCCGAATGGTAAGATTTACCCACCGAATGAAGAGGTGGCGACCCCCCAAACCGTACACCCCTGTATTAACAATAGTCAAAGAAGGCATACCCTACTCGCGACCCTTCGAGAGATATAAAAGGATCATTTTTGAGAGTTGAAATTTTAATCAGTTCATCCTTAGATGATGAATCGTGCTAGAAAATTTCATCTAGATCGGACAACTCACTCTTAGAGTTATAATGTTGACAAGGAATGCATGAAGTCAAGTGTTAGTCGTCACTCGGCTTTGTCTCGCTCCGACAATAAATGTTGATGAATATAAATTTTTATCTATTATTTTACCTTAAATTTTAACTTTTGTAACTGTTTATTATTAAGTTTTTCATGCGTATTTCAACCTCTCGTCTACTATCGAATTATATTTTCAATCTTCATCGCTATTATTTAGTTTTCAGCTTTAATTAATTTTTAATTGATAATCGTTCGAGAACTTATTTGCTCGTTCCATGCTATTTTTATATTTAGGCCTATATATTTTAATTTTATTTGCATCTTAATGCTGTATTTTGAAGTTTTTTCTATTATCTTTAACAATTTAAAATCATGATCATTGCTGTGTAGCATGACCTAAATATTTAAGCAAGAAGGTAAGTTTATGAACCAAAATTTTCTCATTGACTTAACGTGGGGATAACCTTTGACCCCCGCTACCTCCCGTTCTAGATGGAATTTTTAAATTCGGTCTCAGTCACGCCGCACTATTTTATTACTTCTATTAATGTGCAAAATTTCGTTCAAATCGGTCGAGTCGTTACTTCGCAAAACATGTTTTGGCGATTTGAAAATTTGAGTCGCTGCCTTCGACAATAATTCGTTACTCGTTTTGGTTCAGTCTAATGAAAGTAGAAAAAAGAATGACGAATGCTCTCTTCTCTTATCATTCTGTACATATATCTTCCCCCAATTATTATTTTTTAAAATATTTTACACGAGGTCGAACCATTTTTATAAAATCATATAAATGATTTGTATGTAAAGTGTTCATTAAATTACGTGTTTTCAGTCGGTCTTGCTTGTCGACCGTCAGCGGTAGGCATTTATTTTCTATCGATGTGGGATCGGGAAGATCGAAAAATCCAATAAAATTTCGCGAATGGCCAAACCCTCCCTTCACACCCGGTCATTACCCGTTGCACTTCTGCACGATGAGAATAACTAACAAACATGCCCTGTTAATACTCACAGGAAGAAAAGAGGAAAAAGGTACATAAGTGTAAATTATACTTACCGCAAAAGTTACCAAATGATCTTTTCACAAAGGGATTAGCCAAAGTGCAACTAGCATACGCCAGAAGAAGGATGGATATTGCGATTTTCCTCATAATCTTTCGACGTAATAACACAGAAAAACTATTTTAGTAATTGGAGACGAATTAATAACGATGAAAATTCCCTTCTCTGCGGAAAACAGTGTAAAGCAATTATATATATACACGAGTTTATTAATAATTAATAACGATAACGAGCAAAGAAAGTTTTTATCTTAATAATACGTTTCCTTTCACCCTTTTAGTTTATAATTAAATCTGTCGTTCTATACGCATTTTAATTTAATCTATAATTTTCTTTTATAAAATTATTTATTATCCACTTAATGATCGAATCTGGATGCAACTAATGCACTTTATTTATCGAAAATAATTCTTTTCAACGATAGTTAAAACGTAAATAGATTTTCTTTGCACTTAATAAATGTTCATTAGACTGCAATTTGGACATTGCAAACCAGTACATTTCCATTGCATTCCGTTTGTCTGTCCGTTCTTTGTTAATCTCGAGAATGGATTAGATAGATTAATGGTTCCCAATTAGTGGTACGCGTACCCCTGGGAGTACGCGAAATTGCATGAAGGGGCACGCGCGGCAATCTGAAATCGGTCGATTTAAAATTTAAATGCACGAGATGAAGCAATCAAAAAAATAATGGGTGAACCTTCAAAAATTCGGCAATATACAACACGATGTGGAATGCACAAATTCTTTTATTTATAACTAAAAATATTCTCGAAATTTCATTTTAAAAAATGCATTTGTGACAATACCTAAATGAAGTTCTTACGCAAGAAACAAAAATTGTACAATTAACACAAATTGTGTTAATTGTACAATTTTTGTTTCTTGTTTTGTTTTACAATTGTACATTAAAATTAAATAACCTTATGTTATTTTCATTATTATTAGAATTGTATTTTAAAGGTAATAAATGTAAAAAAAACTTATTCTATTTATTACTCGCTGTCTACCCACAGCTTCGCCCGCGTTATATCGAATTTTCTCGTGAGAGTAAGATAAATTTTTCGCAGTTAAATGTAACCATGTCCATCTTCAACATGTAAGCTATCTCTGTGCCAAATTTTATTTAAACCTGTTCGGCGGTTTAGACGTGAAAAGGTAACAGACAGACAGGCAGACAGAATTACCTTCGAATTTATAATATAAGTATGGATTAATATGAATTTCTGCTATAAGGGGTACGCGCGTTTGAGCTCTTTCTTAAAGTGGTACGCAGGAAAAACTAATTGGGAACCACTGAGATAGATAAAAATCGAGATCAGATTTGGAACTCTTAGGGACCAGAGATCCCGACTAACTACTGTATATGTTACCGCTAAAGCTCGAAATCCGTTAATGTGCACATTACCTAGCTAATCTGCAGATTAACTAGGGTGATCCGTTAAAGCTGCGAAAATTATTCCATTTCTCAAATTACCTAGGTAATCTGCAGATTAACTAGGGTGATCCGTTAAAGCTGCGAAAATTATTCCATTTCTCAAATTACCTAGGTAATGTGCAGAGTATCTAGGTAATTCGCACATTACCTACTAGTCATTCGGTAAAGTGAAAATAAGATTTTTGCTGGAACAACAGCAACGTTTCTGTACGCTTAAATTAACATAATGTTCTTTATTTCTTTTTCAATATCTAAAGAATCAAGTTAATACAATCAACAAATTAGTTGATTGAATCAATCATCAATCAATTAAAAAAACTTTAATACAAAAATCAAACGGTTTAAAATATTA